ATTTGGTTGTGAAGAGGAAAGACTGAGGCAACAAGCAACTATAAGCTTTATCTGAATTTGGAGAAAAGAAGTCTAAAAGATTCTGAACTGGTGTGGGTTTTTTTTTTTCCTGCTTTGGCAGCCCCCCCCCTACTGCTGCACAATGTTTTAGCATTTGCAATTTTAGGAAAACAAAATGATCTCTTTTGTTCAGCTGCTCCTCTCTTATCACTCTTATTTTCACCCAAAAGCCAGAATATTCTGATATAATGAAAGCACATCCCCAAGTCTTCCTACAAAAGCCCTGCATATTGAAAAGCACATCTAGTAAGAAAAAAAACATCCACTTTATAGTAAAGGACATACCCTCTGAAGCCCAGCAGTCACATTGTGCTAGCATCTCCATACTGTCCACAGTGAAACCATATTCCTGACTATTTTTCAAATTAATAATGTGCACAAACCATGTTAAAATAATGGTGCACACCATAATAAACCAGCCCCTCTGCAATCCCCACCAAACAGAACCCAATGTTTTCTCATGTACTATACCACTCAATTATGGCACCTATATGACCTTCCAAACCAGTAGTAGTGTAGCTACCATACTGTAGTGCTGTATATGTGCTAATGAGCTCTACTGTGACAGAATATATGTGCTCAGTGCCACATAAAAGTTGCTTCACTACTTGTGGTTCAGAAAGTAATGTAGACAACAATATATTTATAATTTTAGGTACTTACTGGCTATACTTCTAGCCTTTCCATTACTATCATCTACTGCTCTTCCAAGGACATACTGTATTGTTATCTTATAATTGCTTAGGAGATTAGTTATGCAGTTCTTTACTACAATCCAAGTGTCCAATGAAAGGCTTCATAAGCCATGATAGGATGAGGAAAGCAGGTCTCAGAATAAGAAAGTGAATGTGCATGCTATAAGCATCTATAGCTTTAACCATGATGACAAATCTACCTTTTTCAGTAAAGAAGAGATGCAAATTTCTGAAAACTCTAGCATCGTGATTTTCTTTTCAGGCCACCCCTTGCTAATACTGTCGGTAAACCTTTCACAGTGATTAACCAGGTCTTTGAGGATGACAGAGAGAGAACTCTATGAATTCTAGGGACTCTCAGCCTTCTCTTGATTTCATATCAGGAGTATGAGTTGTACCAGTTCCATATGTGGCTGGGGAACACCATGTATCCAAAGACATCAATAATCTCAGGTGGAGTGGCAAATCTTAAAACATGGGATGATTGTACCTTTTAATAGCAGCACATATTTATAACAACATAGTCTCAACCATCAATCTGCCTATACCAAATTGGTTAGCTCCTGATTGGTAGCAATTTGATTAGTGGCAGTGTCCCATGCCAATGTCCACATACTTTGGAAAGGATAAAGGAATGCTCATGGTGGTTTGCTGCCACTTTAGATCTGGAGTGACTTCTGCTCAGGTCTCCAGGGAAGGGTTATTTGTCACCCTGAAGTTTTGCAACTACTGCTAGTTATGCCAGGCCTGCAGCACAATACTACCACTCAATGCTCGTTTCTCAAGTCCAACAATGGCACTGCACTGATATAAAATGTAATACCGAATGCATTTGTAGAAGCTGTTGTATATTCCTAATTTTCAGTACCTTGGCATTGACAACTGTTTTGCCCATAAATAAAAGTAGTCTATTAACAGCTTAGAGAAGAATCCAGTTTGTCTTTTTGATGCTTGGATTTTCAAAGTTTGACCCTCAGAATGGTATGGCTTTCCAGATAGATTTGCTAGATGTCAAACAGCGAGCTGCTGGAATACTTCTTAAATGAAGTGTGTCTGGCAGTGCTGCCAAGAAACATGATAAATATGTCACAAAGCTGAATTCGTAATTTGGAATTGAGCTTCATGTGCTAAAACAATGACTCATCATGAAGTAAAGCTAAGTTGTGCATTTGGCTGTTCAAAAGCAGTTATAATGAAGCATCTCACTGCAGAGTGACCTCACTTTCCCCAACTCCCCAGCATTCAGAATACCTAAATTTAGAAATGATGATGATGGTGGTGGTGGTGGAGTCAATAGAGAAAAGATACAGAAGGAATGGCAGCAGAAGAAAAACAGAAAATTTATGGAATGTCTTGGAATGAGAATGGGCAATGATGAAAGCAATAATGAAAAACAGTTCGCAGCTGACTTCCTGCCTATGGGGCAGGGGGCTGGACTCGATGATCTTTCGAGGTCCCTTCCAGCTCTAATGTCTATGAAATCTATAAAATTCTATGCTGATGGTTCAGACAGATTGAGAACTGGTAACCAAAGGAAAAAGTGAGAAAGAGGAGTTAGAGTAGCTTGATAGCTAATTTCCTTAATGGCTTAAGTTGCATGGAAGAAAGAGAAATGCAAGAATAGGTTGGCACCACAATCTTAGGTGACAGTAGAGAATTGGTTTGGATGCAGGTGGAACGAGCAACACAAAACAACCTCCAATTCCAAATTTCCTGACAGTGGCTATTCAGATTCTAATACTGATTTTATTTCAGCTTATTTGTTTTTATTTAAATACTAAATGCTTACCACCTTTGATACAGACAATTGTCTCATTAATTCCACAGTAAGTTAACCATGTCTGTTCTAAAGAAGAAAAGACCCCTTGGAGAAGATGAATGTTTTTTCAGTGTTTTGACCTCAGATAAATGTGTCTATTTCATTACCATTAAATATGTTTATTTTAATCTGTATCATTTTAGGTGTTACTAGAAAAATTGAAAGTAGAAAAATTGCCATCATTCTTATGGGCTTGAACTATTGTTATTTCATACTCTAGAATCTCAGCTTTTATTTTAAAATTCTCTAATTCTTCTGGTTGTGCAGAAAGCGGTGAACCAAATCTAATCTATAAAATGATGTTTACAAAGAAATTGTAGCAATAGATCTGAAAGTGTAAATTCTATAAGATCCATAGGGGCATTTCCTAATTATGATAGTTTAAAATGGCAATATTATTAAACTAATCCAAGGTTGTCAGAGATCCAGAGAGTGCAAACCCATGGTTAAGTAGATTTTTCAGTCCCTGCAGCCTCTGCAACATTATCTGCATTCCCTTCTCCTTTTCCCTCTGATTCTGGAGCCTAAAGAAGCAAAACAGAGGCAAACAAAACCCTAAGACCAGCAGGAGGCATCTGAGTGAAAACTAATGGAGCTTAAAAGAGTGTATACCAGCAATTCTCAACTGGGGTTTGTTAGCTACCCTTTCCAGGATGAAGGGAACTGTAGCTCATAACAACCCAATAAATATTGCTACTAATATCCCTGCACTTCACAGGTAATAATTAAACCTCATCTTTCTTGAATGGTTTCCATCTGCACTAACTTGATGGCCTCTCCTACTACTCGTTCATCTTACAATGGTTCCTGATAACACCTGCTAAGTCACAGCCTTCATCTATTTCTTTAAGCAGACTATTTTCATCTACATAGAGTCTTTTCTCTGCTATTTAGCTCAGCTTGTATGTGTATCTACAGTACCATTTTCTTAGAACTGGGGAAGGGCACTCAATGGGCAAAAGCCCATCCAACAGCTCTCCCAACTATATAGTTGGAAAACAAAAGATGCTACAAAACATCTGTGCCTCTCCCTCTATTCCCTGGACCATCATGGCTACAACAATGCTCCAATTCTATTATTTTTATGCATTAGTTTTTGAAAAGGGATGCTGTTAAATTCAGAACAGTTGTGAAGGGGTACAGTGAATGTAGAGGAAGGTTAATAACCACTGACATACACATTGTGACCCTGCTGAAGGTAAACTAAGCCCTTACTTTGCAATGGCATCCATTAGAACAGAAGAACACCTTGTCACTCAGAAAGTATAATCCACTACCAGTTCTTATTATAACAGAATCTATTCTAGCAGAAAAGGTATTTGCTGCATTGAATTGACTGGACTAACACAAACCCATGTGTAGTGAAAAACTCCATATTAAGGTAAAACTTGAGAAGAACTGTGCACCCTAAAGCTAAAAAGATGATGGGTTTAATCACAACCAACATGCAAATGTTGACAGTGGTGAGCAGGGACAGCGGGGACATAACCGTGCTGCCACCACGGCCCCTGCTACTGCTGGGTGCTGGCTCCCCACAGTCAGCACAGAAATCTTGGGGGCACATGTCAATTCAGATAATTCACAAGTACTTCATGTGGGACAAGCTTGTCTAGCTGTAAGGTTTGAGATAAAATGCTCAAACTTGAATCAAGCTGGTCACCTGTTTTTAGCCTCAGTGGCTTCACAAGTACTTAACGTACCTGCAGCTCGTCCCTCTGTAAGGTGTTGGACTTGCTTAGACTTGAGATTAAACACTTGCATTCAAATCAAGCTGGTCACCTGCTTTTCAGCTTGGATACTTCACAGGAACTTAATGTGGGCTTGTCCATCTCCTGATTTTAGCCTCAGACACTTCATACTGGCTTAGCGTGGGGAAGGGGGCTTATCCCTCTCCCATTGTTACGCTTTGCTCCAGGCACTTCACAGGCCCTCAGCATGGGGCCACAGCATGTCAGTCTGGAAGGTCTCGGGTTCGCTGCGAGAGCCAAAACGTTTAAATCCCAATCAAGCCGGTTGCCTGTTTCCAGCCTCAGCCCCACTTGGGTCGTTCTCCAAGGTGCCTTTTTCTTTCCCCCGCACCAGGAGCTGGCACCGGGCAGTTCGCAAACCCCGCATTTTCCTACCACGTGGCACCAGGTCTTGGAGCAGAAGGTCCGGGCCAGCTCCGACGATGAGGCTTTCCCCGACCCTAGGGCGACACAAGCGCGGGCCGGGGCCGGGATCACCGAGCGGGACTGCAGGCGCGATCCGGGCGGGGAGGGGAGGCCCCTCCAGCCCCGCGGCGCCACCTCAGCAGCGCCCCCCCGGGCAGCCGCCCTGTAGAGCTCTACTGTGCCGCGGTGGCGCTGACCAATAGGGAGCTGCGGCGGCGGCAGCGCTGGCCAATGGCGCGGCGTGGAACGCGCCGGGGAGCTGAGGTCACTTCCGCCGCAGGCTGCTGGAGTCGGCGGCGGCGGGGAGCGGCGGGGTCGCGGCGCTGCCGTACAGCGGGTGAGTCTGGGCGGGCGCGGG